TAGTGGGATTGCATCTTTTTCCTCTTCTTTGATGTAGAAGAGTCATTGACCTCAACAGAACAGCCCAGTATGGTTGACCATTTGAGTTTGAAGCCTTCCTTGACTTTTTCACCTGGGTGGATTTTTCCTCCAAAAGAGAATGTAGAAGTCATTGTTATCAGGCTTTGCCCAAGTAAGACTTCAAACTTGAGGGCATCGAATCCGATGGAATCAAGGCCAATGCCAACTTCGCAGCTATTTTAGTCAATGATGAAATAGCCAGCGACAATGATTATTTGGATGGGCATGGAGGCTTCAAGAATGTGGTGGGTTTGGAAGGAGGTGGAGGTAAAGCATTCTCATACAAATGGGGAGACTGCTGACAATGAGGTTGGTGGATTTTCTTTCTTTTCCTTAGAAAAATCAGTGATGCAAGGAATCTGGGAAGAGCGACCCCCCAGCTCTTCCCAGTTTTCTTTGCCAGTCACATGGCATGAAACCAGCAAGAGGAGTCTACATATCAAGTGGTAGGTGGATTTTCTTTCTTCTCCTGGGAAAATTGGAGATGCCTGAGTGCTGGATCTGGGATGGCTGTCCTAGTCTCTCAACACAGGGGAATATCTGGAGCAGGATTTGGGCCTTACCCTGTTTTTTTTAACCTGGGATGCAGCCACATTAAACGGCTTACTCCGGATTAAGTGGCATCCATCTTTGTGCATTTTGTGGATGCAGTCAGACTACACTGCATTGTTTGACAGTATAAATGTACTCACAGGCACATCATATCTTCTGAGTTAGCAGAGTGTGTGATGCCAAAGAGATGTCTTTTCGATAGTGGCCCTCAGATTGTGGAAGTCATTCCCAGAACATGTTTGTCTGATACATTTCCTCATGTTTTGCAGTAATCAGAAAAAGCCTCTTTGACTTTTAGTAGCATTATTAAAAAAAACCTTTTGTGTTCTTCTTTTAAATGGAACTAATTTTTATACGGTGGCTTGCTTGTTAGTTTATTGCTATTCCTGATTCCTTCCTCTGTACATTTTGTAATTGTTTTTCTTTTTCTTTTCTTTTTCTCATTGTTTTGGCTGCCTTAAGATTTCAGCAAAAAGGCAAGATATAAGCCCAGAGAAGAAACAAATGACTCATAGAAAATCCGGAACACAAACAAACATTCACTGCATCCAGGGAAGTTACAACTGACATTTTAAGGAAGGTACAAGTTTCATAAGCCCCAAGGATTTCTCAGCAGATTACCTCAACAGTTTTCATATTGTTGCAGGGGTTGATGTTAAACGGGAATTCATAACTAGGGTCTGATGGTAGACTTAATTAAACATAAATAAAGAGGGTCAGCACAGCCACAGAAAAATCCAATCTTCTTCTCTGTTAAGGACTGCTGAATTGAAATGTTATTCCCAGTTTTTTTAAAATCAGCAGCCATCCAAGATTTCTCTTAGTAAAAGTTTTTTAAAAAAAACATGTTGGAAAACATATATCTTACACAATTATTTTTTATTTTGCTTACAATGTAACATTGGGCTATTACAGCAAAATAGACATAAGTTCTGTGCTTTTTAAGGAGTAACAAATGATATTTGGCACAGCCTTTTATATGGAATAGATAAGTCTACAAAAGTTGTCTGTGATCCATGAGAGCCAAATAAAATGTACTGTATGTGTCTTTAAGGTTCTATGAGTTGATTTATTCATCATCAAATTTATGTCTAGGTCATGCTTTCTGCTAAGCTAGTGCTTTGAACTTCAATTTGAGAAGTTAACATGGAAGGATGTTCTTTGACCAAATTTGGGACAAGATACAGTGTTGGAACCAGGGAGTAAAAAAGAAAAAAAAGAGGTTGCCCAACCTCAGATTCCCTTAATTGACCATAATTGAGGTATGCACCTTCTACCCTTCCACAATAAGTAGATAAGGGTCCATGTCTTTTTTGGCTGCCTTGAAATAGAATAGTTATCAGTTGATAGGTTGTATCACAAGTACTTAGCAGATAGATGGTGTAATGAAATGATGTCCCTCTCTCTCTTAGAGCCAAATAATGTCCTCTAACATATTGATTCAGAGAAAAGGGTTGGTGGTGTTTAGCTTCATAGGGCTCCTTTTAATATTCTGATTACTTCATCCTCACATTTTCTGGTATGACCCACTACAGATCTGACTGGTTATAACAAATGCTTGGAAATCTCTGTGTTTTATTTTACAATGTTGGCATGATGTTGCTATGATAATATAACACATGAGGTTTGTTAAACCAGTACAATGATCAGGACTGAGGTATAACAGAAGACATAAATTAAGGCATTCCGGTCTTAGGTTCAGTTTTGGGACTAATGTATTTTATAAAAGTTTGTAAAGTACTGAAGATCAACACTAGCTACTAAAAAATTCCTGCCCATACATTTGGTTTTTTGTAAAAGCAACTCATAATTACACCAAGTGACTGACAGATGTCACCCACAGTCCATCAACAAAAGCACCAGAGGCAGTATTCTAAACATCTCTCTAAACACACTGACATATTGGTCAAGGTCAGATGTCAAAGGTTTCTTCCTAGTCCCTTCACCAACTGCAATTGCAAGCAATCCTATGTATGTTTAGTCAAAAGTCCTATTAATTTCAATGAAGCTTACACTCAGGAAAGTCTGTTGGGGCCACAGCTTCAGAATAAGGGAGCAGTTTGTGATAACATTTGTATGGCACAATGTTTTAATATTTAATTCATCCCTTCATCCACTTTTATTCTAGTAATGCCAGAAACTGAAACCAGAGTACAACTTTAGAAAGTCACTTGCTAATACAAGGAAATACCCACATTTTATGTCTTGGAATGTTTCTTTTATTTTATACTCTGTTATACAATCCATGTCAAATATTTTTTTTTATTTCAATGTCTTGTCGAAGACTTTTATGGCTGGAATCACTGGGTTGCTGTGAGTTTTCTGGGCTGTTTTTTATATTTCTCTAATTTTCAGAACCTGATTTCACTCAAATAATCAAATATTATTTGATAAAGAAAATATATCTTAAAAGCCGTCTTTTCTAACATACTCCAAAGTTGCATTTCTGTTAAGCCAGTGTTTACAAGTGAAGTTACAGCTTACAAATTTACTTTCTTCCTCCTACAATTTATACAGAATTTATATACAGAGGGACAAAAAAGGGTGATTTATCTGTGGACTGGATTTTAGTTGGTTAGGAGGAGTCATGCATTGTCAAATGCCCAATACATCTGCATGGGCTTTATACTTGGCAGTTATTCCCAGGGCTGTGCTCTTTCCAACCAAGGGCACATGGGGTTATCGGGCAGAACTGTATGAGGCTAGGAAACAAATCTGCAGGAAGCAACTGAGATACTCAGTGTAGCTGTCAAGCAAAGAGCTGCAAGGTGATGAGAGAAATGGCATGGCAACATGGCAACAATTGCTTCTTTAATAAAAGGACTGGTCCAGCATAAGAGAAATGGGCTAGTAAAATTTTGTGAAGCCTTTCTATGCAAAGGATATCAAAGTCATGTTTGATTATCTCCTACTATTGTTGAATTTTGACATTAATCACAGAGCAACAGAAATCAGTGTGATGTCACAAATAATCCCAATAGGTCACCAAACAGTTTAGTACATAATTCTGAAAATTATAAAAAAAAACATCCACTTTGAGTTCAAAATGTTTCATTGTGTCTCCAATGAATATAATATATCTTCCTGCTATTGCACTGATGGCATGGCTTTTGATTACTTGTCTGTGTTTAGAAGACAAGGATATATGGGTAACAAACAGACACTTAAAAGTATCGCTCGACAACACTGGAAGCACATACACAGTAATCTGCACATAACTGCAGTAAAATTAAGTATCAAGATGCTACTAATGATGAGGCATGTTCCCTATACAAAATATGATTTGGTAGATTAATTCTATACATTTATTGCAGAACAAAAAAGAATAAATTTTCAGGGGGAGGGATTTAATTTTTCTACACATTATATTGGATTTTGTAAGCTTAATTTTAAAAAAATCAGTTACAGAAGTAGAAAGTCACACTGCCCAGATGGGGAAAAAAACCTAATACAACAAATTGAGCTGATTTGCAGTTAGTTTTGTTGTAAGGAAATCAAGTGGAAAATAAGCAATTTTTAAATGGATCCCTCAAGGGCCAATGCCCTAGAATCTTAGAGAAATTAAAATTTGTAACTACAGTAAAAGACTTCAGTAACAAGCAGCATTAAGTACCAACATGTCTCCTTGTGATTCTTAGATTGAGTCTCAAATCATTGAACTCATTTCAGAATGTCCCTTTTATAACCTTTACATCAAAAGGGTATTGGATTACCGAATATTATTGAGGATTATAAACCTGGACCCAGAGCACTATCAGACAGTATTTCATTAATATTTTTGCCTTCTTTCAAAAATATCTTGTTACTAACAAAAAAATTGTTCAATATTTTGCATAATATAAAACTCAATGCACCTTACTGCTTAGTTTAATTGAGTGAGCTGGATGAAAGACTATGTGAAGTTTTATCTCAATTTCTCTCTTTCTTAAATAAAAAGCCAAAGTAAAAACAGTACTTATTATAACTGTACCAATGAGATCTTTTGTATTAAAGTAGTGGCCAAGGAAGCCTTGAAACAAGATAATTACTGAACAATGATTTTTCTAAATGTTTAATTAAATTATTTTTTAAAAATGAGAATGATCAAAAGAGACCTACCGCTCCTTCTTTTCTCCCTCTCCCTCTCTGCTTTCCCTCAGTGAATGCAAGGCCATATAAACACAAAATTCTAATGCCAATATGGCATATTTTGTGAATATTAAAATCTATGTCAAACTAGAGACAATAATACATTCAATCTGTGCCACAGGAGGCTTGTAGCCTTCTCCAAGTTTACCAAAAAACAAACAAAAACAACACATCCTCACTTCTCCCAAATTATTAAAAATCTGCCATGATCCAATATTGAAGCAATACCCATTTCCTCCACTTCTTCTGGCAGTCCTTACCTTTTTGTTGTTCTCCTTAATATCTTGAGGATTCAGGGACTTGTAGTCACTGAGGGAGAAAATGGCACAGTGGGTATGTAAAGTACTTGATAAAAGCAGCCGTTCTTAAAACAGACCACTATCTAAAAAATAATAATTCAACATAAAAACAGCACTGTACAGTAACTAGTAATTTCACAGCAATCCAATCAGCAAAACTAATAGTGTGGAAAATTAAAATAAAAAATACACAAATATAAATACTGAGATCGCATGTTTTATTGCCTGCAGCTTTCCATCTAAAAAGAGAAGTTAAGGCAGAGACTTGGAGGCTAGCTTTAACAATGAAATTTGCCACGAGGTAGATTTTTCTTGTCAACGTATGAAAGAGTTACAGGCTTATTGGTATCATCACATTTCAAAACAACACAATTTTCATAATTGTCTTGAGGTCACTTCTTGCTCAGAAAACATACACATCAAAATTAGGTAGAAAAGAATAGGGATAGTTTTGCAATAAAGTCCTGGGAAGGACACAAGGCGTGAGCAGGTGCGCATGTTTGGTCCAATATCACAAGGGGAAATTTTAAATACTGAAATGAAACAGTAGGAGACCCAAAATGAGAACTAACAGTTGCATTTATTTATTGTCCTATTTGACTTTACGACAGGAAGAGAGAAGAATAAAGAAAATGGCAGGCTGTTCCTACTTACATTAGGTCAGGCCTAAAATGGTGTAATATTGCACAAAAGGATAATCCATTCCGCCAAGATGTAGTGAAATTGGTGATTTTTACTCCCCTATAGTTTTTTGTAACTTCTTTGCACCAAGCCAGCAGTGACTGACTCGCATTTGGCTTCTTCCCCAAAACAGGACTTGGTATTGGGCTGGGCTGGAAAAAGAAAACAGACAAAAGTGGGGAGGGGAAACATTAAAGAATTTAATGGAATATGTGAATTAAAATTAACTGACTTAACTAGATGAGCTGCATCCTTTGATGTCAGTTTTGGTCCTTCAAAGCTGTTAGTTTACAATTATTGTAACTTGAAAAAAGACAAAAATCTCAAGTCATTATTTGCTGTCTGAGCCTTTGGTACTTGTCTCTGAAGGATATGCTACACATGTATGAGAACCAGCCAATTATATAGATGGAAATATTAACATTTGAAGACTCTAACCATATTATTATATAGTCTGTAGTAAGTTATAAACCTTGACAAAGATTACTTAGAATGCGTAATTATAAAGCATCCCATATAACTTTTTTCATTTAATGAAAACAGAGCTTTGAATATCCAAAAGCAAACCAGACTACAATCAAAGCTAATCATACATTAGGATCTATTATTCTGGCAGAAAGGATTAATGTCAGAATATGAATTGCTGCTATGAAAATCAAATGCTTACATACATAATCTGGAAGGTTTGTAAACAATGTTATTTTAAAGACACTGGTGCCACCTAGTCATTTTGGTTTTCTATATAGTATTTAAAATTTAAAAATCCATCCAGCAATCACACAAAATATTTGTTGAGCCTTTAAAGCTTAAGAATATTTCTTACATGTGCTTAAATAAGTCGAGCTTTTCAAACAGAATACATCCGAGGCTCTCGAGCACTACTGTGAGAAAAAGGGAAGACACTCATTCACAAACATTAATGGGATTATTTGGCTTTGGGGTGGGGAGGCGGGAGAAACCCTCTTATAAATGTCTACACCTAGTATTCCAGTGCACAGGGACATTCAAACCGAAAGGCTAAAAAGAAAAAAAAAAGTAGTTCTCAACAGTGCACATTTGCAAAGCTCTAGTTCTATCCAGGTTGCCTATCTTTGAAAGACCAAGGATGCCCCCGCTTGACTAAAATATGCCAGTGCTAAGCAATTAGAACTGTCAACTTCATATGCCGTCTGATTAATGCTTGTGGGGAAGCATGCTTACAGGTACTGTAAGAGAAATGTTGCACAGGTAATTTATCATTTTTATGGACTGCTAGAATAATAAACTACAATTATGCAAACAAACCCACAGATAAGAGAGAATGATATTATCTCATTCTCATACCCTTCAGCAGCACAGCCCCATTGTGCCAAATTATCTGCAAAATGAGTGATGTCATTACTATTTAAAATTTTAATGCTCAGGTGTAGGTCTAGTAATGATTAAGTACACGTAACAAGTGAAAGTGCATGGAAAAGCAAAGGATTTATATAGTATTTGCAAAAACTTGTCAAATACAGAGCAAAGAAAATTAGTGAAATGATTTAATGGCTACGTTTTTATCCCATTTGTCCTTCAAGGCTATCAGGATGGTATACTTGCTTTTAGTTTATGCCAGGTCAAAAGACTTGTGGGAAGTAGGGAGGCCTGGTCCTCCCATCAGGCAGAGTGGGGTGACTGCTTTAGATGAGAAATGCTGAGTGAGAGTGGCAAGGGTTCAAAAGGAAGGTCTTATTGGCTAAGTGGAAGCAAGATTCTAAATGATCCACATGCCCTGCCATGCCCTGCATATTATGACAGCTTGCTATCCCCAGCAAAGATACTGAGAATACTATCTTACCACCAGTGTTATGATTTGGTTGGTAGACTGATTGGCTTCTCTATGTTAGAAAGGGTTGATGATAAGTTTCTTGTCTTTATCCTCCAGCAGCAAGGCGTCATTTATTTATATATAGTGAGGTAAAAATAGTGACCAGAACAGGGGCCGGGCTTTAGCACAGTGGGTTAAAATGCCAGCTGCAAGAAATACTGCCAATTGAAAGGTTGACAGTTCAAGCCCGGGTTGGGGTGATCTCCTAACCGTCTGCCCAGCTTCTTCTCACCTAGTAGTTCGAAAACAGTAATGTGAGTAGATAAATAGGTACCACTTTGGTGGGGAGGTAATAAAAGGCGCCCATGCAGATATGATGGTGATTCGATCAAGAGTGTCTAAAGACAACAAAGCTCCTCAACATGGAAGATGGAGTGACAGCCCCACCCCCAAGCACAGCCTCCAGATTGTTTTTTTGTCATGTCAGGAGCGACTTGAGAAACTGCAAGTCGCTTCTGCTGTGAGAGAATTTGCCGTCTTCAAGGACGTTGCCCAGGGGATACCCGGATGATTTAATGTTTTTATCATCCTTGTGGGAGGCTTCTCTCATGTCCCCACATGAGGAGCTGCAGCTGATAGAGGGAGCTCAATCCACCCTGAGTCCCCTCGGGGAGATAGAGTGGAATATCAAAAAAGTATATTATTATAATTATATTATTAATCTTTGTACCAGGACATAATCCAAGCAAAAAGAATGCCACCAAACTCACTTTACTCTAATGAGACCTGGAGCCCATCCTTAAACACATTACAAATGAGATACCTATGGATAAAAGCCATGGTCTTATAAAGAATTATATTTAGAGGCAAATAAGCTTAAAGTCAAATACTTTGGCCTAAGTAAGCTATGGGTCAGATTCCTAACACTTTCACCGTGATGGACATTCCTGGATAAAAACTTGAAGTTTTGGCAGAGGGAAAATTTTATCCAGTGATTATTCAATTTCCCCATTTTGCCCAGTGCTACTCATTAATTCAGCCAATTTTAATTCTTGGGTGTCAGTCCCTGGTGGTGCAGTGGGTTAAACCCTTGCCAGTTCCAGCTCCCCATGCAGGGACAGGAAAGAAGCCTTCTACAAGGATGATAAAACATCCAACATCTGTGCATCCCTCGGGCAAAGTCCTTGCAGACGGCCAATTCTCTCACACCAGAAGTGACTTGCAGTTTCTCAAGTCGCTCCTGGCACACAGACACACACACAATACTCCTATGCATCTCAGCTACTGCTTTTCTGTGTCTTGAATTAATACAGGGTCCATCTGACACAATCATTCATATCTGTGGTATAAATTCTCTATCAATGTAAAAAGTTACTGATGTTTTTGATTTATTACAAGTATTTGTTTACTGCTACTCTGCTCTATTCTCATCTTTAAAAGTGACTAGCATGGATCAGCATACAGAATTAAATCTTGACCTTGGTGGTGAAGCTCAGCCCTAAAAGTGAAAGGAAGTGAATCTTATATTTGATCCTTTTAAAGCAAAAAAATATAATTCAATATAATTCAGATCCCACATCTAGTACCAAGATATTTCGGTCAATTTACTTTTACATTTAAATAAGATACTAGACTTTTATATTTCTACATTTTTAGTAAAAATTAAGCTACTTTTCTCAGAATAGAAAACATAAACGCTTATTTTCCTATGGCAAAATAAAAAATAAAAATGGTATATTTAAAATTTGGATTTAGTTTCATTTTGCTTCCAACCCCACCCCATAGCATGCAAATAGGAAACTGCATTCTGTAATTACAGATACTATCTAGTCTGTCTAACAATGCCAATGTTTTTCTGAATACAGCCCCATGACTATAGTAGAAAGTGCGGAAGAAATAAAGACTGGTGCATTTATGGATACCTTTGTTGTGCTTCTTCTTTTATTTGTGGTGAAGATAGCTAAAATTAATAATCATACATAAACAAAAACATGAATGACAGCATAGTGAGAATGTTAGGGTATCAAGTCAGAGAAACAGAAGGAAAATCCTATTGTTAATTCTCAAACACAACCAAAAGAAACATGTAAACTATTTTCCTTTGATAAATGTATTATATTCTCAGTAACAACCATGAAAACAAAAGCAGCAGCAGCAGCACACCTTCTGGCATGCATACATTGGTAGATTAAGAGGAAAACAGCATGTGGAGAAGAGCAGTTCTTGATATTTTCTTAGGCATTGTCTGAAATTTCCTCTCAAGCAGTCACACGTCCAAAATACCATAACTGCATGATCCGAGAATAATCTTGCACTGCCTTAAGGAAATATATTTATTTTGAATAGGCTAAGCATTGGACAAAGAAGACACACAAAATGCAAAACACTGTAAAGCATTAGGTGAATTACAGAATGATTGATAGAGATCACTCATAAGAGAAATCATGTCACCTTGGGCATTGGAGGTTAAGGTGGCTTCTCACCCTCAATGACCAGATTCTGAAGTTGCTTAACAACATTGACTAAATAACGACATTGGGGGCAAAAATCAGCTCTATGGGACACGGTTAGGTCTCAAAATTCTTTTCAAAGTGTCTTTTAAAAGAACCCTATACCAACACAGCCAAAGATCCTTTGGAAAATATCAGATGTGGCCAATCAAGCCCTTATTTATTTATTTAGAACTTTTGTATCCCTTTCTTCTCTGCCTCCGTGGAGGGACTCAGAACAAAATTCAATGCTATATAATAAATAAGGTCATAAAACAACACACAATAAATAAGTTCTAAAATACATATAAAAACAATTCATCACATTGAAAACAACATCCAACTCAGTCCAAAACTCTGTGGCCAAATAACTCTTAGTCTATCCATTCATCCGTCAATCTGTAAATGCCTGACTCCAAAGCCAGGATTTTAGCTGCTTCCTGAATGACAGGAGAGAGGGAGCAGATCTAATCTCATGAGGGAGAGAGTTCCATAGCCGGGGGGCCACCACAGAAGGCCCTGTCTCTCATCCCTATCAAACACGCCTGTGAAGATGGTGGGACCGAGAGGCCTCTCCGGAAGATCTTAAAGTCTTTGATGGTTTATAGGGGAACATATGATCGGACAGGTAAACCGGGACCGAGCCGTGTAGGGTTTTGTAGGTTAAAACCAGCACTTTGAATTGTGCTCAGAAGCTAATTGGCAGCCAGTGGCGTTGGTGTAACCGTGAGTTGTGCACTCTCTGTACCCTGCTCCCGTGAGCAACCTGGCTGCCGAGCGCTGGACTAGTTGGAGCTTCCGAACCGTCTTCAGAGGCAACTCCACATAGAGGATGTAACCAGAGTATGGACCACCGTGGCCAAGCCAGACTTCC